CAATGATTGACCCACCACAATTATGCGATGTGCCAACTTGAAGTGACACCTGCCATGGTTGTTCTTCGATGGACGTCTCGAAACCGCCAACAATTAGTCGAACATCGACAGGACTTGCTACGATTCAATAATGACATGAGTAAAGCAATGATAGAATTTCTCGAAGTTACAACTTTACCTGATGCCAGTCCGATCACGAATCCAATGAGCAACAACTTGAACATTTTAAATTGGTCAATGGTTGATTTTCACAAACTAGTTCAGTAGCTCTTTAACTGAACTCACTGCATGAATTGAATTCAGTGCGGTATTTATTTATACCTCTCAGTTTTGAACATTTTTAGATTATTTCATACTTTTCTAAATAATTTTGACTGCTACAAATTGATAAACCATTATCAAAATGATACATAGTAAAGGATAAGCGTTGGTAGCCGGTGCCTATCATTGACTGGCTTTATCAGTCAATAGTAGTCAGAAAATATGTGCAATATAATCATTTTTACAGACAGGTATTGTGTTTGCCAGTTTTATTGGACTTAAAACGAGAATTAAAATTTCGACTGTGTGTGTGTATTCAGACGTCACTTTCATTTTTTTGCACCTGAAAAATATATAACCATCAAATATTTGACTGAATCTATAAAGCGTTTGATTTATTAGATTTTGCACAGACTGGATCTGTATATATGAATAATTACAGCTTGAAATGGATCGATAGCGACATGCTTACGCTGCGTGCTCTCGTAAAACTGACATATCTTTGAAAATGCAAAAAATTGTTTTCTACATTCAATGTGCATTATATAAAACTAAACTGACGATAAACTTGAATAATTTATTTGAATCAAATAAGACATTTGACACCAATCATCGAAAATACTTCTTAGTTCAATAAATAACAACTAAATGCATTCCCTTCGAAGTATTTATTGAGAAAAAAAATACAATTTTGTATTCAAATCAATCGAGTTCGAAGAAGATTCGCTTTAGATGAACTATGATTTTAAACGGTTAAATTCCCGATAAACTTTTAATCCATGGACGAACGGATGTAATTCGACCAAAGACTCCAGGATAGTTTGGCGCACCACAATCTTTCCCCCAACTCACCTAGGTGGAGATTACAAATTAAGTATTGTATACATATTTCTGCAGTTATGCACATATACAACTTACAACTCCAATCACAACACGATCTCCATCACTTTCAACAGATAATGGGCCGCCGCTATCGCCATAGCATGGGCTTTTGTCGCCTTTGACAAAACCAGCACAGATCATTCGATCGGTAATTGGTCGGCCTAAATATTTATATTGTTCGCTACAGTACTCTTGATTGGCAATGGGAATATAGACGGCACGGAGTACTTCATTCGAATCACTTGAGTTTTGCGTTGCTCCTAATGAACAAAAGAATATTTTCCTTTAAGATGCTTCAAATACTTAGTTCGATTTTTGTTACCCCATCCTGAAACCAGCACTTCGACTCCATCTGCAATTTTAATATCTTCGCTTGGTAGGGCGATTGGTTTCACTGCATCCCCAAATGACAGTGGTTCGGCCAGTTCTAACAGCGAGAAGTCGAAATCGGTGATGCTGGCATTGTATTTCTCATGACGGTAAACCTTCTTCACTTTGATAGTTGAACCACCGCTTGCGTAACGCGATGAGCCAACACGAACGTAATATGATCCGGTGCTGAAATACAAGATCACTAGCGAGTTATTCCTTCTGCCTCTTCTAAACTGAAGCCGCTGAATATTACCTGTTAGTACAATGGGCCGCGGTCAATACCCACTCCTTTCCAATGATTGACCCACCACAATTATGCGATGTGCCAACTTGAAGTGACAC